GTCTACAGTTTGATCTTATTAATAAATTATTATAAAGGTAATTTATAGAGCAAAATAATTGTAGGTTATTAATTTCTGGCCTTTTTCATAATGGGAGATAAAAGGAAAATGAGCATTGATTTTATCTCAGCACAAAGCTTTCTTTTTTTTTTTTTTACTCCAAATCTCATGTTGAGAAAACTTTTCAAACATAATATGTAAATCAACAAACTGATATAATGTACAAATAAGCAAACAAGCAGCTATTCTTTCCAAGAAATTGTTTATAATTAAAATAATACTTTTAGAAATAAATGTGTATCTATACCTTCTTGCATTTTAGTTCTCCAAATGATAAAATTTGTTGAAAATAAGACAATAGTAGAGGGTTGTTGTGCCTTGGCTGTGCTGTCAAAGTTTAGTTACTCTGAGCTCTAGTTGACAGGATTCTAGCTCTAGCTTTGTTACTTACCCACAGAATTATAGACACTGAGTTTGAGTCTAAGTTTTGGCCATTTGGTCAGGTCACGTCATTGAAACACATTAAGTCATTTTTTCCTCATCTATACCTACCTCTGGTGTTTCCTGTGACATTTAGCAGAGCTTATATTTGGGAAATGTTTTGCAAATTATAAAGGACTACATAAGTGTGTTCTATTATACACAGAAGGGAGATGGTGTGCTCCTCACTGTGAATATGTTGAAGGAATAACAACAGTAACAACAGTAAGCATGGATCAAGAGGCCTGGTCAGATCAGGGAATAACACATATGGGGCTGAGGCTTTGTTTCAGAGGAGGAAAAGAGCTGGTAGAGCAAACCAAGGTTGGAAATAATTACTATGGGTATCTTACGTGGCTCAAACATAGGCTCTTTTTCATTAAGAGAAAGACATTTACTTCATATAAATAGACACAAGCTATATACAGCTTGATGTTTTAAAAATCAACTTATTAGGTTCAAACTTCTCCATTTAACAACATAACTTGTGCAGTGAGAATGTGAATTCTGCTTTTAAAAGTATACTTTTTATCTTGATATGCACATACAAATGTACTGATGAGAGGACGTCTAGTACATAAATTCTTTCCATTTTTCCTAATGTCTATATAACATTTAGCACAGAAAGTCCTATGAAGACTATAAAGTGGTTATTGTAAAATATAACCAAGATTTTTTTCTAAGAAGATAAAAGTGAGTTAAAGAAAAAAACATCTGTTTAATCTAGAGAAGACCCCATTGTCTGAATTAAAAGGAAGGTGAATAAGGCAAGAAAGACCAACGACACTCTTAATTTTACGTTTACTGAAGATTTCTAGGTTTTATTCTCACTTTCCTTCTACATACCATTCATGTGCTCTAAAATTCTAGATCTGTTACCTGGGTTAACCCACATACACATCTACGAGTAGGCTCCACTGAGAAAATGATGTGATAGGTTGACTAACCTGAGCACTGGACAGTTTTGAATTCTCTAATATTAATCACATTTCTTATTCTATTCTGTTGCCTCTCCTATCACTGATCCTTTGTACTGCACAATGGAGGTGGCTACTCTGGTTTTGGCCCCCCACTCTTCTTCATAAAAGAGGTTTTCGTACTTATCATCTAAGCTCCTCACTTCTTATGTCACCATACCATTTGTTTGAAATGCCCTAGCTTTCAAGACCTGGTGTTGGTACTTCAAGAAAGAAAGATAAATAGAAATTTGGGATTCTTATAATTATATACTGTGAAAAATGCCTTGAATCTCATAAATTTTTTAAAACCAAAGTTTTTCATTTTTATGTCATTGTATTTATCTTTTTGTTATAACACACAAATTGACTTTTGCTTAAGATTGACATATATTAGGAATTCAATTTGCCTAGTGTATCTATTTCTTCTCTAAATGATTCCAGAAATATTTGTTATTTGAGAACTCTTTTTGATGTTGAAAATAACTTATATATGTGTGTGTGTGTGTGTGTATGTATATATATGTTTTTTTTCCTCTCTATAAGCTATCTGGCCAAGGAAGCATAGCAGATATTCAAAGGATCCCTGTAGGACCAGACTTTAAAAGATGCATAGTCCTCATCTGGCTTCATGTATCAATTTGTTTCAGCTTGTATAAGGAAAGCCAACTTTCTTGATCTTCCCAGCTGAATGTAATCTTTCCCACTTTGATCAACCAAAGCCCTGATCAAATGCTGTCTTACAGTTAGTTCTACTGTTTTCTTATCTTTTTCGTATTAGTGTTTAAGCTTCTTGGAAATTTGAGCTATTGCCTCAGAAGATGATTGTCACACTCAAAGGGGATGATACAGAGGTCAATCTTTTGTAAACTGAAAAGCACAATACAAGTCAATTATCAAGAAACGTTTTGATGTGCTCTGTACCGCTCACTGAATGCCTTGCAGATGAAGAGATATCAGGAAGGATATAGGGTTTGAGATTCATACTTCTGTTAATTACTAGTCCTATTAATTGTAGTTTTCTTCTCTAAAAGGTAAGCATTAAAATAACATCCGTTTCAGGAAGTTGCTGCGTGATCTAATGAGAAAAAAGATGTGAACGTGTTTTTTAAACTGCAAAGACTGCACAAACATGTTATCATAACAATCTCAAAACAGTTCTTGAGTTGAATCTATATTTGTTTCTTGATTGCTGTAGACAAATTTCCTATGTCAAAATTATTCACTCCTACTGATCATTAAGATCAATTTTACAAAGATTATTTTGGATTTTGGTTTTGACATCGACGTTTTCGTTCTATTTTTAGACAGACATAGTCTAGTACTGATATGGTTTGGCTGTGTCCCCACCCAAATCTCATCTTGAATTGTAACCCCCATAATACCTGCGTGTTGTGGGTGGGACCCAGTAGGAGATAACTGAATCATGGGGGTGGTTTTCTCTATGACATTAAATAAGTCTCACAAGATCTGATGGTTTTATAAGGGGCTTCCTATTTTGCTTGGTTCTCATTCTCTCTTGCTTGATGCAATGTAAGATGTGCCTTTTGTTTTCTGCTATGATTTGTGAGGCCTCCCCAGCCACATGGAACTGTGAGTTCATTAAATTTATTTTTCTTTATAAGTTACCCAGCCTTGAGTAGGCCTTTATTTATGGCATGAGAACAAACTAATACAGTACATAGTACATAACAGTTACTCTCTGTTTTTTTTTGTATTAACATACAACATACATGTAATTCTGACCATGTATTTCAAAGGCAGTGGTATATTAATACAATTCATTGCAAAAAAATCCTATATATTCTCATCAGTCATTAACTTGAAAGCTAAATGCTTGTAAGTCATCATCTGAATTAAGAAAAGCTTTAATTATAATGATAATTGATTCATAGGAGTTTAATATCAAACTATGTTAGTAATATATAGTCAACATAGACTTTTGTCATCTCAATGGGAAATATAATCACTAAACAATGATAAGTTTCATGAATAAAGTCACACATGAAAGCACATCTTTATTAAACTATTGGTTCACAGTTTAATAGGCAGTTTTGATTCAGTAACTATGTTGCTGAAATAGAAACAAATTAACTTGTCCTATTTTTTATGAATAATTATCTAATTTTATGTCTCTAGAGTAATGTTGTTTAGTTTATTCTTTTTTTTGAGACGGAGTCTTGCTCTGTCGCCCAGGTTGGAGTGCAGTGGTAAAGTCTCGGCTCACTGCAACTTCTGCCTCCTGGGTTCAAGCAATTCTGCCTCAGCCTCCTGAGTAGTTGGGATTACAGGCGCACGCAGACACATCACACTAATTTTTGTATTTTTAATAGAGATGGGGTTTTGCCATGTTGGTCAGGCTGGTCTTGAACTCCTGATCCACCTCAGGTGATCCATCCACCTCGGCCTCCCAAAG